TTTGGTTTGCTGCTGCTGCAACAAGCGGATGTGTAGTGAATTTAACTATTCTCCAGAGAGAGAACGCGCTCCTGCTGCTGCTGCTGTTGCTGCTGCTGCTGCTGCTGCTGCTGCTGCTGCGGTGCGGGCTGCAGCTGCTGCTGCTGCTGAGCCTCATACACCAGCACAGGTCTTAGCGGTGCTGCAGAAACAGATATTCTTTTTTATGTATGAACACAATTTTTATAAAACAATAAAAGCAAATTATGGTCAGAACGTGAAACAGGCAGACAAGCATAATAACCGGCCTGCCCACCCTGCAGCAGCAGCAGCAGCAACAGCAGCAGCAGCAGCAGCAGCAGCAGCAGCAGCACAGAGCACGTGCATCGGTTGCGATCCCTGCTACGATCCCTATATTCTTTGTTGACGACAAACTTAAAATTCTGCTTCAATAGTTTTAATGAGGCAAATTAAATGCAACACACCTCAGCATACACCCGAGGGCCTCTTCTGCTGCTGCAGCACAGCAGCAGCAGGACCGCTGGTTCAGGACCTTCGTAGCAGCGGGGGCCCCAGGTGAAGCAGCGGCTGCATGGTGGCTCTGTCGGCAGCAGCTGCAGCAGCTGCAGCAGCAGCTGCTGCAGCAGCAAAAGTAACAGCAACAGCAGCTGCTGCAGCTCAGCAGCAGTAATGCTAGACCTGTACCAGAGTGCCCCGCCTCTGTAAGGCCAGCCTGCTGCAGCAGCAGCAGCAGCAGGCTGGCCTTACAGCTGCTGCTGCTGCAGCCTTCAGACAAAACATTGCGTGTACCCGCTTCGCCCGCTCTTATGAAGCAGCAGCAGCAGCAGCAGCAACGCGCGGGCGCACCCTTCAGCCGCAGCCAACGCTGGGCTTAGGTCGCAGTGAAAGCAGCATACAGTGGCGCCGGTAAGAACATAGGCTGCAGCAGCATGCATGCATGCATGCATGCAGCAGAGCAGCCCCGGCCCCCAAGGTACCCCTGGATGTCTCACCAGCTAGTGCTGCTGCTCGCTGGGCGGCGGACCCCTCACTAGCTAGCTATGCAATGGGCCCCCGCCAGCTAGCTGTGTACTTCGCCCCCAGGTAGCTAGCTGTGCAGCTGGCTCACTGGCTAGCTAGCTGTCTAACTAACTTTCTAGCTAGCTAGCTGAGGACTAAAAGCAGTGAGAGCAGGTCACCGCACTCCTGCTGCTGCACTAGCTCCGTGCCGCAGCTACAGGCTACAGCAGCAGCAGCAGCAGCAGCAGCAGCAGCAGCAGCAGCAGCTACTGCTAGTCATAGCTAGCTAGCATTAGGAGTAGTAGCTAGCTAGCTCGGCCCCCCTTATATATAGGCTCAATATATGTTCAACTGCTGCACGTTGAGGCTGCTAGCGAACTCGCTAGCCGCCTCGGGAACCAGCTAGCTAGCTAGCTAGCTCGTATAGCTAGCTAGCTAGCTAAGTAGCTAGCTAACTAGCTAGCTAGATAGACAGGCAAAAGAGAAAAGAAACTCGAACTGTTACTTCAAGCCAGGGGACGCATGCAGCAAACGCCCCGCCGAGCTGGGCCTAGCAGCTGCCTCCCTGTTGCTGCTGCTGCTGCAGCTGCTGCTGCTCTTGCTGCTGCTGCTGCTGCTGCTGCTGCTGCTGAGCTGATATATCACTCGAGCTCCCAGAAGGGGAGAGGAACGTTCCTGGACTTGAAGGAGGTGACCTTCTCCTGCGTCGCCGCAGACAAGACCGTCTGAAACACGAAGCAGTACCCGGCCGGCGGAGCCCCCAGCTTCACTGCTAAGTCCTGAACCAGCAGCAGCAGCAGCAGCAGCAGCAGCAACAGCAGCAGCAGCAGGAGAAGGGGCAGGAGTGGCAATGTCAGGCATAGATGTGAACACGCAGCACCTAGGGCAGGTGAGCAGCTGACCTAAGCGCTCAGCTGAAGGGTACGATCCCTTGAAGGGTATATGCAGCATAGTAAGAGAAGCAACAGCAGCAGCAGCAGCAGCAGCAGCTGTTGCTGCTGCTGCTGCTGCTGCTGTTGTTGCTGCTAGTACCGTACCTGGTTGTGTCCGGCGGCGAAGTAGCAGGGGCGCAGCAGCGGCAGCA